TTTTTCAGTTCTAGGATTTACATTTGATCTTTTTAAATGTTAGTTCTATATGACTTGAAATACATGTATATTTTATACTTTGCTCAGCTTTTATGGTCATTTTCATCAGGAGGGTTGGAATTTAACTGCCATGACTAGAAGAGGAAATCCCCTACATTTCCTAATGTCTTGATGAAGATGACTGGTATGGTTGTGGGGTGGTACTCTTGATGACCAGAGGCATGGTGTGGTTGTGGGGTGTTGGGTGAGTAGGTTGCATTTAATATATCCATCGAAACATTCCTATCTCCTAAGCCTTCATACTCTCAGTCTACAATATTTCAGGGGAACTTTGGCATCTCAATCTCATCGACTATAGGCCATTGTTAAATCCACGTTTCAATAATCCAAGGAATTAAACCTTAAAGCCATTCACATGTGTTGAATATAACACATCAGGAATCCTGATGAGTGCATATAATTAATAAGTTTTACTGAATCCAGTCTTGTATTTCATCCTCCTTGGTTTAACTTTCCATTCCATGGGCCTAGGCTTCCTCTCAGTTGGTACTGGCAAGATATTCCAATCCCTTGGTGGCTGATCTATCTCCACCCCCTCCCCAGTGGACCTTGCAATTCTTTCTGGGTTCTGCTGCGAGTTTACTCGTTATGAGTCAATGAGGTGAGTGTGGGCAGGCTACATGGGAGGCAGTGGCCCAGGAGAAGTCTTGAAAGGTGTTCATATGAGTGAATGCCAATTCCTTATACAGGGGAGGACGGGCTGCTTCTGTAGGTAAAGGAGGTTTGGGATTTGGAGTTCAGCTTTTTAAATAATACATTAGTATTGTTCAGTGTCTCTAGAATCTGCAATGATACTTATTTTTTTGCATTTATAAACCTCTATTTTGAATCTTCTCTCTCTTCCTCTTTCTATTGATCAATCTTTCTAGAGACTGTATTGATTTTTCAATATCCAACTTCTGGGTTTATCTGTGTTCCTTATTAAACATTTATTTTAATAACTTGTTTTATAATTTTTTGGATAATCTTATCAACATCTGTTCTAATTCTGTTATTCTCTGTTTCCTATTTCTTTAAGTTTCTGCATCCAACTTTCTTTTTTTAATTGATGTATAATTGACATATATAACATTGTGTAAGTTTAATGAGTACAACATAGAGTTGCCCCTCTTATCTGTGGGGGATATGTTAAAAGAATGTCAGTGGATATTTGAAGCCATGGATAGTACTGAACCCTACATTACAGTATTTTTTCTTACATATACATACCTATGATAAAGTTTAACTTATAAACCAGGCACAGTAAGAGATTAACAATAATAAAAGTACAGCAATTGTAACAATATACTATAATAAAAATTACGTGAATGTGGTCTCTCTCAAAATATCTACTGTATTGTACTCACCCTTCTTGTGATGATGTGAGATATAAAATGCCTATGTAGTAAAATGAAGAGAGGTGACTGACATAGGCATTGTGACGTACACTAGCCTACTATTGACCTTCTGATGATCTTGGAAGATCATCTGCTTGTAGTCCACCATGGGTACCTCAACCATGGATAAGGGGGGGACTACTGTATTGGTTTGATACATTCTATTGCAATATGATTGCCATTGTAGTGTTAGCTAACACCTCTACTGCATCATATAATTATCACTTTGTGTCCACCCAAATATTCCCATCACATGTCCATGGTCCTGCTTCCCAATCAGTGTCCTTCCTAATCTTAGCAAAAGAACTGGCTGACATTGAGCATTTAACCTTTGCAACAATTCTGTAACCTGAACAATTATACATAGAAACTGAAGATGACCCCTATTTGTCCTATGGCTATACCAGATAAAAGATTCTTTGAATTTCACTCTATCTGTACCTTGAGATGGGAATTTAATACTTCACGCTTATCTTTTCTTTTTTTGTTTCTCCAGGGCAGTCAGAAACAGTGACCTCACTCTACAGTCTTTGTAATTATCTTTGTTGCTAGAGCAATCAAGTACAATAGCAGCAAGCTTCCAAAACCTTGTCCTCCATTTGCCCCTCACACCACCACCAGCAGCACTAATTTGAGTAACCTTGTTGCCACTGTATGTCACTGATTAGAAAATCCCTGTTGCTCTCTATGCATGCACAAATATGTGAGTGACCCAGCCAGAATTCCATAGTGAGGAACAGTGTTTCTGAGGCATCCCTCAGGGTCCTGGCAGAAACAGAATCCAACTCTGAACAGTTCCAGAGACTTGTTACTGAACAGGTGTGGGCAGGATTAGGGAACCAACTGCATTTGTTTGCTAGGATTGCCATAACAACATACCACAACCACTGTGGCTGAAACAACAGAAATTGTCTCACAGTTCTAGAGGCTAGAAGTCTGAGATTAAGGTGTTGGTAGGGGTGGTTCCTTCTGAGAGCTGGGAGGGAAGGATTTGATCCAGGCTTTTCTCCTAGCTTCCTTGGCTTGTGATAGCATAACTCCAATCTTTACAGTGTTTCCTGTGTGTTTGTGTCTGTGTCCAAATTCCCCTTTATAAGGACATCAGTCATATTGGGTTAGGGCCCACCCTAGTGACCTCATTGTGACTTAACTAATTACATCTGCTATCTACCATATTTCCAAGTAAGGTCCAAATAAGGCACTGGATATTAGGACTTCAACATATGAATTTTGCGGGGGGAGACACAATTCAACCCATAACACCACAAAGGGGTGGATGAGCACCCAGAGATGAACAACAATAGGAAACTGTCACCACCTTTGTTGGGTATTCTCTCTTGGCCCCTCCAGATCCCTTCACCTTGCTCTGTGCCCACACTGCTGACATCTTCAGACTGCATCCCCAGGGCTCCCTTGCCTTTTGGTTTCTATTTGACCTGACTTATTAGAGGCACAGGAAAGAGCCTCGGAGGTGGGGGTAAAGAGACATGAGGGCACAGTACCCTAGAGTGCTCTTCTGATCCTCTCCCAGGTGCTTTCATATATCCCTCTCCATGCTTTAATATTATATGTTTTATATTTAATATTTGGTAGCTACTAAGAGCTTACTGATGTTTAAAATATGGGTGAGTGTGTGTGTATGTGGATTGTTTCACTTCCAGGAACTTTTGCACATTTAGTAATAACAGCTGACATTTATTGAGTGCTTCTGTGTGTTTCAAGTACTTAAGTAGACCCTGAAATTACATACTGGATGGTACCTATTAAGGAGGTACTGTGGTTATCCAAGTTTACAGCTAAGTAGACCGAGACTCACTGAGATTCCTATTTTGCCATGGTTCAAGATTGCACAACTAAATAGCAGCAGAAACGGGATTTGATCTAGGGCAGCCTGTCTCCGGAGGCATGCCCTAAACCACAGGGTCATATGTGCTGTTCCATTCACCAGACAGGTTCTCCCTACCTGGCCTCTGACAAACACATATTCGTTTTCCAAGCACCACGCAAGCAACAGCTCTTCTATGGGATTTTCTCAGTCCCCTCTCTGAGGAACTGACCCTTCATTCTGTGCATCACCTAAATGGGTACCAAGCACTTAGAGAACTGGAAAATAATTGTTTCTATATTCTAATGCTATACTGTCTCCCTATTGCTTTCTAATGCTATACTGTTCCCACCATGACTCCCACGACACATAGCATCTATTTTTCTACCTGTGATTTTCTCAGAGCAGGGCCCATCTCCTGCCCATTCATTTCTGCAGTTCCAGGAAGGCCAGCTTGTCTGAAAGGGGGAGGTGCCAGTGAATGCTTCTGGAAAGAATATTTTCTTGCCATCCCTGACCCTCTGTATGCTCTGGTGCATGCAAATTCCCCTGATTACAGCTGTCTTCCTTCCTTAGTTTTACTCAGATTCTTTGTCGGTGTCCTGCCAATTCTGGACCACAGATGCCCCCACCCCTTGGGTAGGAGTTCCAGTTTGTCCTGTGCACAGGGTTTTCTCTGGGGCTTCTTACCTGCCAGGTCAGATCCGGGTTTCTGAGCTTATCCCTTCTAATCTTCTGTAAACAGGTTCCTTGGCTTCCAGTGAAGAGGTTTCACTTAGTTCCCAGTCGTCCGGTGGGGGATTTACTTCCACTTTTCAGTTCTGTCCTAGTTAACAGTCACATTTTGTCGGGGATCCCTTTATCAAAACCTGGGGGACATTTTGATGCCGTTTTTCTTGTCCTCTCTTTTGTTGGGCTGTTGGATTTAACTGTACCTTTCCCTCCCCCACCCCCCAGGAGATTACTTGGGGGACGCCTTGTGTGTTCAAGGCCAGCTACCTTGTATCTATTTCTACAACGGCTTTAAGGAAAATACTCAGTTTTGAAACTCTACCTCCACACCCCCTATAGTTTACTATTACCTACATCTCGTTTCCAGCTTTTCAATTCTCTCCGAATAAACGTGACCGGTTTCACACCTGGGTAGAGGCGTCCGGTATCTTCTCTGCCCACGAGGGGCGTCCACTCCTGAGTTTTGTTGGATACTTGCCCAGGATCCTGCAACATCTCTGCCCCTTCAGTAACTGTCGGATCCCTGGTGAGAGCATCAAAAAACGTGTGCTGAGTATTTGAAAAATCGGAAATTTTTTTTTTTACTTTTTAATGTTATTTTTTGCTTATTTGTACAAAAACTCCTGGATTTTCTGGCGCGCATTCGGTCCCCCAAGAGATAAATGCCCGAGGTTGGGCAGCTGCGAGAACATGATGCCTTTTTCTCTATCTCCTCCTCCCCTCAGGATGAGGTGCAAGCGACAACTGCTACCTCGATATGCCTTCCCGGACCAGCGGAGGAGGCGGAGAACCGCGGAGCTCCAGGCGAGCGCGGCGAAGAGGAGGAGGACCTGGCAGCGGGAATGCACTTCCTCCCTCCACTCCGGAACTGTGCGCTGGAGCCGTCGGGACTCGGAAACCGGGCTGGCGCCGCAGGCGCGGGCGGAGGGGGCTGGGGGCCAGGGGCGGGGCCTACCGGTTCTGTGGGCTGGGCTCGGGCGGGGTCTGCTGGCTCGGTGGGCGGGCCCGGGGAGGGGCCTGCGCGCGGGCTGCGCGGGCGGCGAGGGGCGAGCAGCGCCCGCCGTGCTCCGCAGACTCCGCGTTCCGGGCGCCGGCTTGCTGCGGTCTCGCCACCGCCTCCTTCCGAGCGGGCTCGGTCCCGCGGCTGGAGCGATGTGAGCCGGGGCCCGCGGGCGCGGCCGGACCGCTGCGATGTGGCTCAAGCCCGAGGAGGTGCTACTGAAGAACGCCCTGAAGCTCTGGGTGACTCAGAAGAGCAGCTGCTACTTCATCCTGCAGCGGCGTCGCGGGCATGGCGAGGCGGGCGGCCGTCTCACGGGTAAGGGGCGCACCCGGGCGGGCGGACCCAATGACCGGGTCCCAGACCTCGCTCCCCGCCAGGCCCGCAGCCCCCACTGCGGGGCTGCATCGCAAGTGGCGATTTCGTGGGAGACACCGGCCCGGGCCGGCCCTGCCTCCGGGTTGTTTTCCTTTCTTCTGCATTTCTCCTGCAAGCTTCTTTCGAGGTGGTGGCGAAGGGGACTTGCGGGCTCGTGCAGTTTTCCGGGGCGAGGCAGGTGCTTTCGCCGCCTGGCCCAGTGAGCGCCTGGAGGCCAGACTTGGCTCGAAAAGCAGAGAAACGCCGGGTGGAGCGTGACCGGAGGGAGCGTGGGCCACCGCGAGGAACGCAGGCCGCGGTGCGGGGCCAGGTGACAGCGGGGTGCGTCCCGGCCGCTCCCGGCCGGCCTCGACTCAACCAGCCGGACGTGCTCTAGGCTTCAGGTGGCGTCGCGGCTGGGGACACACGGTCAAACCACGGCGGGGCGCAGCTCAGGAGGCCCTGGCAATGTGGGACTGCCAGGCGTGTGGGCTGGGCGGGCTGGGGACCGCCTCCACGGCCGGAGGAGAAACCGAGTCAGTGTGAACGAATCCCAAGCTCGTGATCGTAGTAGCAAAATTGAGGTCGGCTCTCCCTCCCCTCTCTCCCCTTCAGTTTCTTCCAAGGATTGATGGGAGGAAAACACTCAGACTTGTAAAATTAATGACAAACAAAGCATTTTTTCTAAAAGTTATGATCCAAAGCTCTTTGAAAATCAAACACTTGGAAAAATCGAGGCCACCTCGCGTTAGCTGGGCACCTGTTTAAACGAATCAGTGCAGAAACAATTTTTAGCCATTTTAGTTTTATCTAGGGAACCTATATGGAATTTTCAAATTTTTAAATTTGAAATAAAAGGAACCTTAGATCTTCCTTCCATCACATCCCTCCTTATACTGAGGAGGAAACCAAGGCGGGAGAGCTTGGGTCCTTGAGTTCATTACTGGTGAATCTGTTGTTTGCTGTTTCTGGGAGAGGTCCTCCTGTACTAAAAGTCTAAGGGGAAATGTGGTCAGTGTGCCCTAAAGCGGCCAAGTGCAAGGGGAATTACCCTCCGGGTACTTCAGACTCAGAAGACAAGAAAGCTGGCAGTTGGATTTGTTAAAAGAGGACAGACTTCACTGAGCCTCAAGGAGTGGATAGGAGTTGGTGAGATTCAGATGGAAGAGTTATGGGGGATAGTTGGTAGCAACGTGGATGAAAGGGGTGGCGGGGTGACCAGTGTTGTAGGGGAGCAGTGGGGACAGGTTGGGCAGTAGGTGGGCCTGCACTGGGAGCTGCCTTAAGCTCTGAGGGAGGGAGTTAATATATAGGAGGCAGGAGGCCACAGAGGCCTTGGTAAGCCCCTGAGCAGCACAGTGGCCCTTAGTGCTGGGGTTCTGCTGAAACAGAGGATGGTGGTAGCCCTGTGAGGCCCCTCAGAGGCAACGAGGCAAGTTGTCCTCCCATGATTTTCAGGGCAGTTTAATCTTCATTTTTGGTGCATTAAGCACAGTAGCTCACCTGTTAGTAGAGGGTGTGGACAGGGCTTGAAGATTCGTGAAATCAGAAATTTAAAGAATGTTTGTACAGGAAGCATTTTCATTCATTTAGTTCACTGCACACTGACTGTGTGGGATCCTCTGTGGCTGCTTTGGGTTATTCACCATCCAGCAGGGGAGACGGGGTCCAGATGAGGAGGGCAAAGCCTTGGATACAATGTCTGGTCGATACAGGCCAGCTGCCCTTCTGGAGAGCGTGCTTTGTTGTCCAGAGTCTGTCATCTTCAACAAACTCAAAGTGATTCAGTCCCCCTACCTGTTGCATTCCAGAATCAAGCAGGTTTCATGTTGTCATTGTACCTGTGACTTTGGACTCACTTGCTGTTTACTTTGGTTTAGAGTTACAGTGCACATGCACAATTTTCTTACTCTTAAAGGCAATCAGATCAACCCAAAAAGTGGAGAAAGTACCCCAAAAAGACAGACGATACTTTGCTTTATTTTTTGGAGACTGAGAAGCCCCAGGTGGTTGTGAAAGCTGATGTCTCCTCTGCAGCTGACACTTTTCCTCCAGGCATAGTGGGGAAACAATGACTTGGCTGTGCCCATTGTGCAACCCTGAGTTACAATGGCTACCTACCGATGGACTAGTTTTAATGGGGCCACTTAGAAATGTTGTAAAATCAAGACTGAAGTGACATGGAAGGCAGCTCCATGTTGGTGGTGGTTTTTGTAAAACGTAGAATTTTGGTAGAGTTTCAACACTTAATTTTTTTATTAAGTTATCATTGATATACAATCTTAGGAAGGTTTCACATGAGCAACATTGTGGTTACAACATTCACCCCTACTGCCAAGTGCCCCTACTTCATTGCTGTCACTGTCCATCAGCATAGTAAGAATCAGTAAATACTTTCAGCATAAGTAATTATCAGTGTAGCATCTGCTATAGAGTCATAACTTGTCTTATCTGTGCTGGACTGCCTGTATTGTGATTGCTAATTATAGTTCAGCACTTTATTTTAAAGGCTTAAAACTTAGACTGAGTTTATCTATGAAAATAATGGAGGCTAATGTGATGTACACTCAGACTGGTTCTAGGCTTTTCTTTGGAAAGTAGCAAGTAGAGATGGTTAAGAGGGATTGGAAATAAAATGAAAGGGAGCGTCAATGAAGAAGTGGCTCTTTGATTGCTTTGCTGAATTTGTTAATAGATAGTAGGAGCTTCAACATTTGAGGCCTCCTTTGGTGTTCAAGCTGACCTTCAGAATACAAGGTATTGTTTCATTGAGGATTATAATTGGTCTTCCTACTTATATACACACACACTCACATTCCCTATACACCTCCAGTTTTATTTTCTCCATACCTCTTTACCCCTTTCTAATATACAATATAACTTGTTTATCTTGTTCATTGTTTCTCCCTACTCAATGTCTCTTCTATGAGAGCAGGTATTTTACCTCTGATGGTACCTAGAATATCGTATGTGCTCAGTAAACAGTTACAGGATGAATAGATGGTTGACTACATGCATGAATGATGGATCCCACTTCTTTTTTAGAAGTTGGGTGGGAATGGAGGCCCAGCTTTTCTGACTGAGGCTGAGCTGGTCTCACGGAACAGGAACATCCCCTCTCTCCTTGGCTTCCTGTTTACCTGGCAACCTGACCACTGTGGAGAGCTGGGGGCCAGGGTGGGAAACAGAGACCTCCTCCTCCTATCTTTTTTGTGTAGTTCCTTCCTCTGATGGGGAAGGAGCATGGCCCCAACTTCTTAGGTGCGATGAGTGCCACCCCCTGCAGTCTGTCTGGAGGAAATCCTGGTTTTGGGGCAGTAGGGGAGCAGGGATCTTTTCCTCCGGTCAGAACACGGTGTAGCTGAATACAGTATTCTAATATGTTTGCAAAGCTCCCTTGACAGAAGTGATTTGCTGCCCTGGGAGGGAGGAGGTAAAGTTATACAGTGTTCACTTGAATACAGTCGGCAGTTGGTGGGAATATTTCTTATGAAAGTTCAGTCTGCTCTGGGAGAAAGAATGGGAGCAGTTAGATTTAGGAGGTGGTGGACAGAAGAACACCGAACGTCACTGCCCTCTCCCCAAGGGTCTTCTGAGGCACGTAAAATGAGCAGCATAAGTGTAACTTTAAAGACTGAGTATCACCACCCAAATGTGCCCCCCAAAGGATTTTTTTTAGTGTTTTATTGTGTGTATTCCCATATAATCTTACAGTTATTTTCCCAAAGAGGCTGGCAGTTAAAAAGTTGTAATTTGAATAAAATATTGATGTTTTTCGCTTTCTGGAATGTTTACTTTCAGCCTGTTCTTGCCATTGCATTTGTCGTAGTGGTGGGGCTGATGAGTTCAGTTCCTAAACAGTTAGGGTCTTGGGAGGAAGTATGGTGTAGTGGAAAATACAGGCTTTGGAGTCAAGATAAGTTCCTTGGTTACACATCTGGGCAGAGAGGCCTTGTGTTTATTCACTTTCTTTGAGCCTGAGTTATAAGACAGGGGCAATAAAGAAGCTGACTTTAAAAGGTTAGAAACTGTTTTCCACTGTCTGCACCATTTTATGTCGCCACCAGCAAAGTACAAGGGTTCAGTTAAAATGAGGGTGAAAATTAAAATAAACAGTATATATCGAGGGCTTAGTTGTGCCTGCCACCTAGGAGGTCTGAAAAAAAGCAAAGCAAAGTACCATTTAAGAACTTAAAGACCAGGAGGGGTTTCTTAGAATAAAAGCAGTGTAAAGAAGTTTGTATGGTAGTGTAGGATGTAGGGAACACTCATGTATCTGATAGTGAAGTATCTAATAATTGTAATTAGAAGATTAAATATTTAAATAGCAATTTGTATGAGCAGAATTTGGGTACAGGGCTGCTTGGACCACGTTAAGTCTAGGAAATAAGGGGAACTTAACCTTGGTGTGCATGTATTGTGTGTGAGTGGACAAGCCCAGAGTGGATCGTCTACCACCTTTGGAGGAGTGTTCCGAGATGGGGTGGGGTGCGGGCAGAGAGATGAACGGATTCATGTGGGCTCACTAGGCTTGTTCAGAATGACTGTTGAGAGGCTGAGAACTGGTGACCCCAGCATGGGTGTTGCCTTTCTTGGATACTCTGACATTGGGCTCCAGCCAGTGATTTTGCTCCCACCACCAACAAAAATCATTGGCTCAACAGGGCAGCCATTGCATTGTGTAGACCTCCCAGATTTTGGCTCCAGAGTCTTAAAGGCTTTGGTCTTGTTTTCCAAAAGCACAATAAGGAAGAAACCACAAATAAAGGAAGTACTTTGATTTACGGGACATGAAATTGGTAGATTCATATATGTAAAATAAGTGATAGATCTTTAAGAGCTGATAAGCCATTAATAAAAGCTTTGGGATTTCCAACAGTTGCATTTAATGACAGTGTATAAGAGTTGTACTTGTAATTAGATAATCAAACAAGGCAGGGACTGTGTAACTCCAGGAAGTA